CTATACATATTGTAACATATTTTGTGACTTTTGCATATTTATTCAACCTCTTTGTGGTTAAGCTCGTACCCCCGAATTGTGACTTTTAGGATAGTGTAAGTTTTATTGACAATGCTTTGAAGATCCATTTACAAACCATTTACAGGAACTTGTATTTCAATGCCTATTCTGATCTTGTCCATTCGAATATTGCAGTTCAACTCTATTGACTCGCCTTCCGCATATATTCTGTGTATATAGCCTTTTAAAAACAAGTTATTAGTACCAAACTATATCGGGACGTTTCTACTAGTCGTCAGCTTCAAGAGGCAACTAAGTTGTCATAAATGCCTACTTGGTTTTCCACTTTCTTGAAAATTGGATACTTAGAAAATTGAATGGCTTTCACGCAGAATCAAATCATAGAGTGTGGAATTTTCATAACAGTATTTAATGAAGTCTTTTGTACGTTTGTCTATTTCAGCAATCGCTTACTTATATATCACTTGCGGTAGAACACGTCTACTTCAATTTTTGTTTGTTAACGAGAATCAATTCTGTGCGTCAAGAAAGGCTATTGTTATGTAAATGATATATTCTAATGTTCGAACCACATCGGGAAGTTCATAGTGGTTTAGAGGAAAATGGAAAATCCCTTTGAAACAGACATGGGTTATATTTCCCAAATTTTAGACTTCGATTAAAGTTGCCAGCAGCAGTTCGATCAGCGACCAGGCCAATGGACAACAACTTAAAATTTTATAATTATAACCTATTACAAGGTAGCACGCTAAAATTGAAACTGTTTAATCGACCACGCGAAATTATTTTCCTGCATTACGTGACGAGCAGAAAAAAACTATTGTGGACGCCAGATTTATTTGTTACGGATCAGAAAGGTGAAGCTTTTTTTCTTACGAAAGTGTATTAAGCCGTTCGTTCCTAGGCTCTCATGGGAACATCTTCCACCACACCGCTAGATACTGTTCGTAATTATATTGAATTGAAAAAGATTTTATGTATATCACATGTCTGACGGATGATAGCGAAAACTTTAGGAGTTTTTCTTAGCTTACAGGAAGAGAAATCTGGCTAGCAAAAATTTTAGAGATTGACTTGAGTGTGTTCTAGAACACGCCCACTTTTAAATTTTTACCAAGGTACGTTGCATTGCAGACACATTTCATAACATGCAGGTCGTAGAAAAAATATACTTTAGCTAGTAGCTTTGCTCGCGGAATTCACGACCACTGAGTAAGTCATGTTTCGCATCTTTAAACAAGGGTGTGAAGATAAATTCAAATTTAACTAGTACAGACACCTACCATTTCTGTTAACATACCTCTATTAACGACTTAACAGAGCACATGTTAAATAATTGCAATTGAGATATAGTTGGTTTGAAAGCCTACTCCGTCCATATTAAAAAAAAGAAAATATTTTTGTGGACAATTTCATGAATCCATATAAAACTACCTTTCAAACAAACTAAACAAAATCAAATTCTGCTTATGGGAACTATTTGTAACGGTATTTGAAACTTTTCTTTCGGGAACTGTTTTGAACGATCTTTTGAAATTTGATATGTTAGCGAAAAATGGTTGTGGGTATAGTATAGCATATATATATACTAGTATAGTATACTCTAGCATAATACACTATGTTCTAGGACAAAAAAAAACTATACTGTAGTACAATCTATTCTAGTACTAAATACCCTATACTGCAGTGTAGCATTACAGTATAGCGTGTTTTGTGCCGAAAATTATTGTACTACTGTAGAGTGAATTTTAATACTATAGTATACTGCATTTTGTACTAGAATGCATTGTACTACAGTATTGCGTATTTTGTACTACTTTATACTACTCTGCCGATAGGTACTTTTATATAGATTCACGCGATATAGGTGAATATAGCCGACATTTTCTAGTTTGGCCGCACTAGAGTGTCAAATTTGGGTGTGTTTTCATATGCATTTTTCCCTAACATACCAAATTTCAAAACCGTTACAAATAGTTCCCATAAGCAGAACTTGAATTTGTTTAGTTTGTTTGAAAGGTAGTTTTATATGGATTCATGAAATGTCCACAAAAATATTTTCTTTTTTTTAATATGGACGGAGTAGGCTTTCAAACCAACTATATCTCAATTGTAATTATTTAACATGAGCTCTGTTAAGTCGTTAACAGAGGTAAGTTAACAAAACTGGTAGGTGTCTTTACTAGTTAAATTCGAATTTATCTTCACACCCTTTCTTTAAATTCCCACTGTTTTTCGAGGTTTCGTATACTTTGTGGAGTGCATTTCGCCATTTGATATTGATTCATTCGAAACGAGGAATTTATTAATTATTCATGAACAAACATTTTAAAGTTTATATTTGTACATTAATTTTTTTTTGAATTAAAAGAAAAATAAATGTATATTCTTCTGACTGACAACAAAAAATATTGAAAAGCTCAAATATAGGAAACTTTACAGCATGCTATAATTGGTATACCTTAACGTATACTAGTGATTAGGAAGTATCTGGAGAGAGAATTTAGTGTATGTGATGTTGATCCAATGTCTCAGAATTATCTCAGGTTTTGATGTGTTGTTACAGATTTTCTGTTAGGGTCAAAAAAATCGTCCACTTTTTAATTTTTTCAAGGATGATTTGTTAACGAAAAGATTTGACTGCTGAAAATGACTCATTTAAGTCATTTGCTCGGCCAAAAAGCTGAAGATAAGAAACTGCTTTTCATGGCCGGTGATACAGATGCCGGGAAAAATTGGCAGGGGAAAGAAAATTACTAGTGTAGCATGCAATAACTTGGATTTTTAAAATATGTTTTTCTCTTTTTAACTGCAACGGTAACTCGAAGAAGAAAGTTTCAAAAATATGAGGAACGCATTGAATAAATTTAACAAAAGGTAAAGATTGTTAGCTATTGAAAAATATCAGCGTAAATGGCTATGACTGGAGTGATGAAATGAATGGAAGAAATCGCAACATTTTTCGTTTAATTTTTTATGAGCTAACACTATAGCTATCTCGTTTTATTTTTATGAATGGACGCATAGTCGAACTCTGAAGACTATACCATTTTACGGGCTCATTGATTTCTATTACTTAGAGCTGTTGCGAACGCTATGAAAAATTTAATTCGCGACCGGATATAATAGTACTTTATGTGTGGCGTTCGCGTAAATTGAATCTTTGTACCTGAAATGTTCATTCTTGCTTTTTGTGTTGTAATAAAAATATTTTCTGTTTATAACTTTAACAATGTATGGTAAAACGGATGCAAGCAAGTGAAGCGTGCACAATAAATATAGGAAAAGCCTTGGCATTTTGATACACCTTAGTAAAATAAATACGCTTGTATATGTTTATAAAAGTTTTTCTGCAATAAAATACGGTGTTTTACAATTAATTTAATTTAATAGAGTAATCGGCAATTTTTTTAAATGAATACTTAAAAAAGTTTAAAAAAAACTAACTAAAACACTAAATAAACAAAGTTGCAAACGTATGAATAAAAAAAATTCAGTTTTTTTAATCCTTCTGGTAAATCAAAATAAAGTGAATAAATTGAACAATGCTTTTCGTTCAATAAGCTCTTTCAAGCACCCTACAGTTTTGATATTTATCAAAACGTATAAATTGATATGGAAAAAAATTTTTTAATTAGTTTACTCGTATGCGCATAAAAGAATATCATCTTCAATCGCCGAAAAGTGAACTTTGTCACTTTTACACATAAAATTAATTTCAGTGTATATATACATACAAGCAGATGCAGCAAACTTTCGTCGTATACCATACGTTAAACTTTCATATTTTAAACCAATTTTTATTTTTTACTCTGTCTTGTATATGAACATAAAACAAATTTATGGATAAAGTAGATAATTTTCATACCCTACATCATTTGTGATACACGGGTATATTAAGTTTTATGTGAATGCATACAATACCCAGGCGGACACCCACGACGCATTTTTAACCTAGCACAAACGCTATTAGTCGGATCGGGTCACCTCCCTTATAACGCGTTGTTTTGAAAACTGTTATATCAATTAGCATATTAAGCGAAGTGGTAAAGAGGATTTAATAATTAGCTGGAATCTGCTGTGTATTTTTTTCTGGTTTTTATTACTTATAAAAGGGTGTGACAATAAGTTCGAATTCAACTAGCAAAGACATCTACTATTTCTAATAAGAAAATTCTGATGAAGACTTAACAAAGCTCTGATAAATAATTACAATTAAGATTTAGCTGGATTTGAAAGCCTACTCTTCCCATATTAGAAAAAGGAAAATATTTTTGTGGAAATTTCATGAACCTATGTAAAAATACCTTCCAAACAAACTAAACAAATTCAAATTCTACTTATGGAAGCTACTTCTGACGATGTTTGAAATTTGGTATGTTATTGAAAAAAGGATATGGAAAACACCCAAATTCGAGACTCTAGTGCGGCCAAACCAGAAAATGTCAGCTATAACGTCAGGTTTTCATCTTTCCAACCATCTCCGTGTTACATGAAGAGTGGAGATTATGGTGATATTAAGGAAAAAAAAAAAAGAAAAAAAATACGAATAACAAAACATATAGACAGAAATAGGTAAATAGCCTCCGTTGTTTTTACTGACAAACGATACATTTACGTACTTGATAAAATGTCTATATTATCGGAATTTCAAACGTTTATCGCTTTAATACTTAAAATTGTCGGCGGAACTTTTAACATCATCAGAGCTTTTTAAAATATAGAAAAAAAAAAAATCACTTAACTAAACTGCAAGGATTGCAAACGTGAATATACTGCAATTAGATAAACACTATTTTTAATTAAATAATTGTTTTTGCGTCTAATTGCTTGAAGTTTCATCATTTTCCGATCAAATGAACTAAAAAATTTGTTTAACTAAACTGTTTTTTCGCAAATTTCTCATATAGCATTCTTATCACCTTTTTTTTGTATCTTACTTTCCTTTTACTTTCATTTTCTTAAAAAACTTTTTGCAGCATTTGAGAGCTCACGTAATGACACACTTCATAACATCGATAGCAATAGCATACCGACGGATTACGATAGTCCACCCCCAGAATTCGAAAACACAACGGAACGTGATGTGATAGCTGCAATTGGTACAACAGCCCGCCTACATTGCCGTGTACGTTATTTAGGCGATCGAGCAGTATCGTGGATACGGAAACGAGACCTACATATCCTAACTATTGGTATAATGACTTACACTAATGATCAGCGTTTCCTGGCACGTCATCTAGATAACTCAGACGAGTGGATACTGAAAATTGTCTCTGTGCAAACCAGAGACGCTGGAATCTACGAATGTCAGGTGTCGACAGAACCAAAAATTAGCCAAGCCTATAAGCTAACCGTAGTTAGTAAGTATGAAAAACGTAACTTGTGCCTAACCACGCAACCACCACGACTTGTTCGATTACATTTGACATCATACCGTAAATATGTGCACCGCATAGTTGTCCGATAAGCTCGCCATAAGTTGTTCATCAGTTCATCTGTTAGTCTCTGTCCTTCCGTTCACCTCACCACCTTTCCGTTCATTCGTCGATCGTTCGAACGAGTGATTTTTTTACTCTACGTTGAGTTGTTTTACAATCCATTTAAAAGTGTGCTTTTTCCTCGCTCATTACGCCGTTTCTCCAGTCGGTCCTTTGGTTAATACTTTGCTTTTCATGTGTATGGTTTCCAGTCAAAAGATTGATTGTTCCCATGTCCATACGTCCGTTCTTCTTTTGCGCCTGTTATCTGTCTTTCCTGAACCTCAATGGAATTTTGTGTACTCCGTTAATTGTTAGCGTTCAATTCCTTGGTGCGTATTTGCTTGAAGTGATGGGCATTTCGGGTTTGCTTTAAAGCGAGTCCTTGATTTTTTAAATTCAAACTGAAATTGTGCAATCCGCGTTAACAGCGTCGAGAGCACAAATTTTGGCCAATCGTGAGCTCTTCATACAAAGTGGCAGTGACATTAATTTGACATGCATTGCGCCGCAAGCACCCGGACCATACACCCATATGCTTTGGTACAAAGATAGTGAGTTAATCAGCGACTCAACACGCGGTGGTATTCGTGTGCTATCCGAGCAACAAATGAAGACAAGCAATTTAGTCATTTCGCGCGTAATACACGCAGACTCTGGAAACTACACATGTGCGGCTGACAATTCCAGTAAGTGTTGACGTACGTGTGCATCTACGCGTGCAACTGTACAAAAAAAATTATTATTAACTTAATCCTTAACTAAGTACGAGTATTTTGTTTATTTATATGCATTCGTTCGTACAAGTAAGAGTTCACCTGAAGCATTTTTTATTTTTTTTTTGCAGATAGCGACAGTGTTTTTGTACATATCATCAATAGCGAGAAACACGCCGCCATGCAACATGAATTAGCGTCACGTATACTTGTACCACGTATCCTACTCACTGTGTTAACACTGTTTTATGTAAGTATCGTGTAAAGCAGTCGCATACACAAAAATGGACACACCGTCACATATACTTTTATTTGCATTGCAAGTATCGTAATAAAAGTCTTTTTTGTGTTCTTTTTTTTTTTTGTTTCCTTCGGTTTTAGTTTCTGGAACGAGTCATTAAATGAAATTCGGTCTGTGGTTCAATAATAGAATGAAGCTCGCATCACTAGTGGTTGTTAATTATTTGCAAATCCTTACGCAACCCATATTCACTCTCACTCGCATGCACACAACATTGTCAATGCCATCAATGTTGTCTCATCAGGGCTGAAAAAAATTACAGCCATGATTTATACAAAGTCAAAATGAAAGCGAAATTTACACGTTTGCTCTTTTGTGGTCGATCGATTGGTGCTCAGCGGTAAACTTTAAGTCTATTTCTTTATTTTTCACATCTGTCATGCGTGACTGCACACATGTATGGCATATATACAGTCCCTCAAACCAAAACATTATTCGTTGTTGCTGCGTAGCCTGACAGTAACATTAGCAACAACAATAGCAATAATAACAATCATGTAACAACAATAACAACAAAAGCAACAGTAACACAATGAAATTTATTACAGTTAGAAATGCAATCGTTATCTCATCGTTTCATTAACTTTGGTAGAGCGCGTATGTAATTCGCCATTATTGTAGTTGAATTATTGTAAGCGTAGGCATGTAAACCGGAAAACATTCATACATGCATACTGATACATATATACATTTGTAAATACAAATGCACGCTATGCGCTTTTTTTATATTAATGTACAAGAAAACGAATAGACTTCGGTTTTAATGAAATGTAAAGCAAAACCCAACAAAACAAAAAAAAAAAAAAAAAAAACACAAAAGGAAGGAGAACGTTTTAAAACGTAATTAAAAAAAGGATAGTAACAGAAAAGTGCGTAGTTTTATGTGCGTTTGTGCGTGTGCGAGTGTGTGTGTATGTAAATATCTACGTAGTAATATTTTTTGTAATCACTATAAAGAATTCATTTAATCATTGAAATGATTGCAATGTGACATGAACAGCAGAGTCGGGCCTTATTCCCATAACCGCGCCCACCTATTGATGTAACGATTAGATCTTGTATTTTTTTCCTGAAATATCAGATTTATGTTTAAATTATTCTTTGTACTCTTGTTACAGTTAAAGTGACTTTTATGTTCACATATCTTCTTTCAATACTCTTCCCATAACGCAAAGAAGGGCAATCTCTCAACATGAAAATTTGCCTTACACGGCCTACTAATAATAATAGAGTGTGGGTAATAGCGTACTTCGTCGTCACTATAAAATTTCCACGATTTTCTGCTTAAAAATTTGGAGGATTAGTTTTAACAAATCGCTTGTGAGATTCTTTACGTTTTAGTCGCTGAATGTCGCAAATTGTACTAATACAATGCCTTGTGATGTACTAAGCGCCTTTACTTACGTCAAATACAGGGGAATTTTGCTTAAGCCCCAATTTTGACCTTACTGTAAATTGTAAATTCTATTTCGAGTTTTTTGCAAATTTTAGTAGTAAGCGAATTACGCTTTCTTCACAAAGCGGTTATACACAAATTTATGAACTGTGAACTATGAGTTTTTGTATTCAGTCAGCTTTCTCCAAACGGATTAGCATCGTTTGATGACGAGATTCTTCATTAACCTTGTCACGATCTTGCTTGCCAACTTCGCTAAATTAGTGTTATCGTTCGACCGAAAGACTCGGCGCTTTTTGAACACTCATATATACATATATGATAAAATTTATGCAAATTTTCGCAAATAATTTGAACAAAATTTACAAGAGATCTAAATCTATAAATGATATATATCATACATTGACTCATTATCTACTGCAAAATTGCATGCGACATATTAGAAGAATATTTATTAAATTGAGGCACATGCGGCGTGTGGAGACATTTGTATGGGATGTATATTATAAATTTGCATACTGCACCACATATCATAAATTATACAGTAAATGAATTGCAAATTGATAGCGGACATTTATGTATGGTATGTGGTAAATTTATTAAGCTATATATCTCTAATTTTCATTCGATGTATATCGTAAGTTCGCATATTATATCGTAAAAAAGGAAATTCCTATTAGTGTGCGCTATTTCGCATATATCTTAAATATACACATTATCCCACCTTATTATTATCATGAATTTTACGAAAGGAACTGCTATCGGGAGATATATGAGAATTGGCTGAAGAAAACGCTTTCCATCTAAAAACGGAAGATTTGCAAAAAGAAACTCCGATTGATCCAATGCACGTTTCATTTAAATTGGCCTCGATTTCAAAAATATCATTTCGTTAATGTAATGCAGGATAATGTATTTGAGAAATGACTAGACTTTTAAAGTCACTCTATCACAACGTATAACAACTTTAACTTTTACTTTATTGTCGATCAAACCTTTAACAACTTTGGGAAAATATTGCCCTTAGACTTGGTTTCGAATTATTTTTTGCCTTCGACACCATCTAGCGCGTTTTATAACTCAAACGACGCAAATTGTTATCGAAAAATCTGCAAAGGACCATAAGTTAAGCAATAAATGTCCCATGAGCGGCAGGAGATTTTTGCGTTCAAATCGAACATGTAACATTTCCTAATTCAAACTAATCTGTAAGAATATGGTAGCTCGACTCAAAACACTACATAGCCATTAATGCGTGCATACTCATTCACACGGACGAATCGTTAAGCATATGTGATTGTGTAAAATATTTTTATTCTTGTAATAATTGTTTATGATCTTTTTGTTTTGGTTTTCTCTTTTTCGTTGTTTAGATTTTTAAGTATTTTTGTACTTGTTCTTAGATTAAAAACAGAAATGAAACCAAAACAACAATAACGCTCTAATAGAATAATATGTATATACTTGAAATAAAATGAATAAAATAATATATATAAAATAAACTGAATTAAATGAAATGAAAAACACTTAAGGCCGAAGTCTTATATCGGGCGAGGAAGAGCGAGAAATGTTGCAAGGAGTGGAAAAGAAAAAGGCACACTGTCAGTCTATCATTTAAATGAAGTGCAATTCATCTGTAAGTATATTAAAGTCATAAAATGGAAATCATGTCAAGATGTCAAAACATGTGTATACATGTATGCGCATATGATGATGTACCAAACTTATCTTACGTATGCATAATATACATAAATTGCAAAGCAAGTATTTTTGGTAATAGCAGTTCTATACTGCTTCTGCTGCACGACTGTATTTAAAGGTAATGCTGTAGGGAATAAATTTAAAATTTATACATAAAATACATATATTCGTTTGTAAACACTTTTAGAAGCACAAATGCACATACGTATTTGCCTCTTAAATATGTATACATTGTGAGGGATATTCATGAATCGATAATAGACTGGCAATCTGGCATTACAAGTAAATTTCATATTTTCAAGATTAAATTGTAATAAAATTTATTTTTTGCTTATGTAAATGGACTCTGTATAAAAATGTAAAAGCGCATGAGTGGTTGCGTATTTGTCTCTAAGAGTGCATAACAAGCAAAATACTCTATGAACTACCTGCTAAAGTAGCTAAACAATTTGCGTTGCCTTCGGATTTTTGTTATTCCATTATATAGCACCAATACATGGTTCTGCATATTTTGGGAACATACTATATCCTCATCAGAGTAAATCGCAGTCGTAAGTTCAAGCTAAAGCAAATACAGTAAGCTCAATCATCTAGTACATTAGGGTTTCAAAATATTTTCTTAAATGCCGAACCAATAGTTGATCGACCAGACTCCTCAGAGCATTATTCTACCAGACTTTATATGAATACCTCCAGGATTATAAAAATTTTCTATTAGGCCTGGGTGCCCGGGAGCACCACATTACCATTGACGCTTCAATTTTGCAAAATTTTTTTAAGAGATTTTCAGATCTCCTTAACCGTAAATTACCTTTTCTTGTCTGATGGCTGCGCTGAGCGAGATTATCCACGATTTATGCCAATTTCAGAAGTTGATTTGTTTTGATGTGTTTGTGTCATAAACTAAGCGAACATACACCCAGTTTCTTGCCAATTTTTGCAACCGTAACTGTTTGAACAACGGACGATATATGTGCAGACAAAGCCTTACGGATTCCTGTTCTTACATTGATCAGAGATGTACTTACCATGCAGAATGTCGATGTCCATTCTTTTGTGATGGGTTGAAAAATAAAGCGACTTTATACCTAATTTTATATGGTGAAGGTAAGTTTTGGCAATTTAGATGATAGGTTGTTAAGGGCAATATATTTAAGCAATAAAGTTTTAAATCTATGAAGAGTTCAATATTGGGCATCTTTCAACAGAACGTGTCTTCTCAAATTTCGCACCATTGTTGGACTGTTGATATTTCTTTATTTATTTATTTATACACACAATCAAACCACAAATGACATAGATTAGACACTTGAAAATAAATCCTAAATTAAATGTTAGGACTTGCTTAAAGTAAAAATAAGCAAACAAGAAAATGAAAATCATGTATAAATCAAAAATGAAAAAATGAAGCAAAAAGCATGTACACATCTACCATAAAGGCAAGCTCATAGCCAGTACAAATCTAAGCTCGTAGTGAATCACTTACTGGATGCAAACATGCAATACTTCGGCAACCGAAAATAGTGAACATAATCAGTTTAATGTAGGAATCAAATGAAACTTTAAAGATTAGAAGTTAATTTAGATCCATCGTAGGCAAGATGCATATGTTGGGGACAGTTGATATGATCGTATGTAAAGAATCCGATATTAAGATAAAATTATAGACATAATTAAGATTTGTGCAGATAATCCACACTGAACAAGTTTTATGAAATTAAGATTTCTAGAAGAACGGCTAGGAACACGGAGAAAAGTTAATCTCTCCTAGTAAGGTAAGCGAGTTAATAGAACCACTTATTAATCTAGCTAAAAATGAAACAACCAAGGAAAACCTAGATTTCTCCTGTCGCTAAAGGCTAAAAAGAGGAGTCTACTTTCATAAGGTGACAAGGAGACTATCGGATCCCACTCCAAATCCCTAACGGCGAAAACCAAGAATTGCTTTTGGAGCGATTCTACTGAATCAACACTTGTAGGAAGGGTACTGCACGACCCATGCATACGTAAGCATTGATCTCACCAAGCTCAATTATAAACTTTTTGTTACGTATAGATCGTCTGCGTGTTTTGACCACTGCTCAACAAAACCGAGCGCTGTCATGCCTTTATTAATGGAGAGCTCAAAGTGCAGCATTAAAATGTAGTCTCTGGTCAAACAAAACCCCTAAATCAACATACGTATCTACGTTTCCAATCTTTGCTAAATGAGCTTCTGCTTGAGAATGACAGCTTATTGCATCTTTTTAGATCTAATTATGTGAGCACTATTATTTATTTATGTACCTATTTAAACATGAAATACAATTGAAGAAAATTACAGTCGCATTCAGGGCATCTTAATAGAAAATCTTATGCTAATTGTTTCAAAACTAGTATACAATAGAAAAGAAGAAAAGGGAAGAATAATAATAACAAACTAAGTTTAAAAATAAATTAAAAAGATAAAAATAATAATTCATGTATAAAAATATAAAAAGAGAAAAAAAAGCATGCACACGGCTAGCACTCGCAACAAGAGACGATCCAGGTTGCAAGTGAACCCCTAAACCATTTCAAACGTGCATAAGCTTGGCAACCAATACGTTAACAACGCAATATTTTAAATAAAAAAAATGAGATATTAAGAATGAAATGCAAAGTTGCTTTAATAGACTTTACAGAGTCCGATAATGAGGATAAATGATAGACATCATTTAGGTTTCTGGAAACAACTCTGAACAAATCTACGTTCCTCAAATGAGGATAATAGAAGCAAGCTATTTTTATGGGAGGGAAGAGAGGCAATCGGGTCCCAACCCAAACTCCTAAACAGCTAGAATTGCTCTTGAACAGATTCAATTGAATCTACATAGCACCTATAGGGAGGAGACCACACAACGGAGACATTCTTGAGTATAGGTCTAACCAAACACATGTACAGCCTTTTCGTAATGTACGGGTCATCAAGCTCGTTGGACCGCCTCTTTATGAAACCAAGCGCGGACCTAGCTTTGCTTAATGAGAACTCAATATGCAAGCTAAAACGTAACCTGTGGTCAAATAGGACGCCTAAATCTGTGAACGAATCGACTCTCTCCAACATGCGCGAATAAATGAAATACTGAGTTACGACTGACTTCCTTCTTGAGAAAGAAAGCTTTTTACATTTATTTATATTTAGCTTCAGTAGATTCAAAGAGCACTATGCAATTCTACGGAAAAGGAAGAAGCAGCATACATTAATATCTGGCTAGAATTGATCACCGATTGGAGATCATTAATGTCCAGGAGAAATAACAATGATCCTAAATAGTTACCCTGGAAGATTCCCGATGCCACGTGAAGTTCGACGGAGGCGGAGCACTCGAAAATAACTTTGACCAATCCATCATGCAAATAAAGTTTATAAGTTTTAAAAATCAATAACTTATGATTAACAGAATCAAAACTTTGCCAAAGTCTGCAAAAATGATGTCAGACTGTGAATTTTTATAAAATGCCTTCAAGATTTGACAAATGAATTCAAAAAGCTCGTTATAATTTCATTAATCGTATAAAAGCATTAATGGCAAACATAATTCGGTGATTATCTATTCCGTCAACAGTCTTCCCAATCCTCAAAACTTGGCAACGTCACTATAGTTCTCCACGAGATATCTACTTTCACCTTTATGCATTGGGATAAAAAAGCTACTCTTCCAATACGACGTGAAAACCACTGTTTTTAAAAAGAGATTAAAAATACAACGAAATACAACCTCGCAAAATTTCTTTGGCGCATGATTTAAGAACACTTGGAGGAATGCCATCAGACCCAAGCGTGCATTTATGTCTTGATGAGTTTGAGCTCTGTAATACGTGACCATCCAAAATGATCGATCTGGGAATTGACACAGAGTTAATTATCTGATACGGGTAATTACCTGCACAACCGAAACTAGCGTGCAAAAAATTCAGTGGAAATAGATCCAAGACGTCCAATCTTCACAGAAGTCAGAGCCACTAAAACACTTGAACATTGATGCGCAGAATGTTTAGAGTTAACTTCTCTTTTTCGTTTAGAGTTAACTAATTCACAAAGTTGTTTTGGATTAATAAGTAGCGAGGATTTAACTTTTTGTAGGTATCTACAAGAATTTTGATGGTGGCGTCAACTAAACTAACCCCTCGCCGTAGAGTATTTCAAGTAGTCATACGCACATCCATTTCTCTTGACAATAGAATAGAGCGATGATTTTATTAAAAGCATATTGCAGATTTGGCCAAGTCCTACTTAGCATGCTAGGGAAGCACCCTGGAAAACGCGCTCGTAATGGGAAGATAGTCGGAGCACCGGACTGAAAGTTGCGGACAGTAATTTAAAAACTTTTTTGGAAGGTTTGCCAAACTAAGTCTTATCTTTTATTACAATTGGGAATAAACTTATATTGAAAAAGGCTTAGATCAAATGTTCTACTGAATGAATTATGGCAGCAACACCGTGAATTAGCTCCACTGCTAATTGTTATCAAACCAAACTCTCAGCAGTCGGTAACCTTATACTCCTTCAAATTTGGCAGATCTTAGATCAGCATTT